GGACTTTATACATCATGTGGTTCAGGTTATTATAAAAAGTGTTCTGAGTGTGACGTCACCAGTGTTGGGGAAGTGACTTTAAAAAAGGTTAGTTTGCTCGTTACTCGTTAATTCTTCAAAAAGTAATCTCTTACTTTACTCAGTTACCCTCTTTTTACGTTCTTCGTTACTTTGGTTCTTTTTACTTAAACTCCATCTGAGGCTAAATCCGGCACGAGACCGACAGTCGAGAAGAAATGTGAGAGAAAGAAGAGAAGAAGTTTGCAGAGAGAGCCCAGGAGGACGTGAAACTGTTCAGAGTTAAACGGGTGAGGTCAGTCTGCCCGGGGGAGTCACCTCGGCGGGTGAGGGACGGACGCTCAGTGCTGGAGGATGAGGAGGACGAGTGCACTTCCTTTACTTTGTCACACCATCCATCCATCCATTTTCTTCCGCTTATCCGGGGCCGGGTCGCGGGGGCAGCAGCCTAAGCACGGACTCCCAGACTTCCTTCACCCCAGACACGTCCTCCAGCTCCTCCGGGGGGACCCCGAGGCGTTCCCAGGCCAGACCAGAGACATAGTCCCTCCGGCATCTCCTGGGTCTTCCCTGGGGCCTCCTCCCGGTGGGACATGCTCGAACACCTCCCGAGGGAGGCGCCCAGGAGGCATCCGGAACAGATGCCCGAGCCTCAACTGGCTCCTCTCGACGTGGAGGAGCAGCGGCTCTACTCCGAGCTCCTCCCGTGTGACTGAGCTCCTCACCCTGTCTCTAAGGGAGCGCTCAGCCACCCTGCGGAGGAAACTCATTTCGAGCGCTTGTCCTTTCGGTCACTACACAGACTCATGTGTACTTTGTAACACGTTACACCAAACACTGGACGTCACCCACAGAGTTCAGCTCCAGTCGAATGAAGCTCACGAGTCACAGAGGAGAATTAAAACCAGGTCCAGATTAGGAACAGGATTTTATTAACGGATAAAACCCCAGGATCATGTAGAGCGGATTTATACGAACATTTTAAAGTCAGAATAACGAGGCTCACAGCAGCAGAGGCCACAGTTGATGGAGCCGGAAGTGTCCATGCACACTTCCTGTTTGAAACGTGGCAGCGAGTGGGTTAGACGTGTCTGTTCAGCTAAACCGTCTGTGGGCTGAACCTGTCAATCAAAGTGAACACAAACGGAAGAGTCGGGTTCAGATTCTCAGAGTTTAACACCGTCAGGAGTTCAGGCGAAGGACAGGGGCCAGTTTAACTCTACAGAGAGTTAATGTTAATAAAACACAAAAATGACAACATTGAAACTTAGAACCTAAACTTAACCCTAAACCCTAAACCCCTGACATTAAAGCTCCTGTATCACGGAACCTGACTCCTGTGAACTTTAGATCCTGTTCTAATGTTCTGATGTTCTAATGTTCTAATGTTCTGATGTTCTAATGTTCTAATGTTCTGATGTTCTGATGTTCTAATGAATGTTCTAATGTTCTGATGTTCTAATGTTCTGATGTTCTAATGTTCTAATGTTCTAATGTTCTGATGTTTTGTTGTTCTGATGTTCTGATGTTCTAATGTTCTAATGTTCTGATGTTTTGTTGTTCTAATGTTCTAATGTTCTGATGTTTTGTTGTTCTGATGTTCGAATGCTCTAATGTTCTAATGTTCTAATGTTCTGATGTTTTGTTGTTCTAATGTTCTAATGTTCTGATGTTCTAATGTTCTAATGTTCTAATGTTCTGATGTTCTAATGCTCTAATGTTCGAATGTTCTGATGTTTTGTTGTTCTAATGTTCTGATGTTCTAATGTTCTAATGTTCTAATGTTCTGATGTTCTAATGCTCTAATGTTCTAATGTTCTGATGTTTTGTTGTTCTAATGTTCTAATGCTCTGATGTTCTAATGTTCTGATGTTTTGTTGTTCTAATGTTCTGATGTTCTAATGTTCTGATGTTCTAATGTTCTAATGTTCTGAATGTTCTAATGTTCTAATGTTCTGTGTTTGATGTTCTAATGTTCTGATGTTCTGATGTTCTGAATGTTCTAATGTTCTGATGTTCTAATGTTCTAAATGTTCTAATGTTCTGATGTTCTGATGTTCTAATGTTCTAATGTTCTGATGTTCTGATGTTCTAATGTTCTAATGTTCTGATGTTCTGATGTTTTGTTGTTCTGATGTTCTAATGTTCTGATGTTTTGTTGTTCTAATGTTCTAATGTTCTGATGTTCTAATGTTCTGATGTTTTGTTGTTCTAATGTTCTAATGTTCTAATGTTCTGATGTTCTGATGTTCTGATGTTCTAATGTTCTGATGTTCTGATGTTCTGATGTTTAATGTCACACTCAGAGCTGGAGTTGTGTTTGTTTGACTAAATCTTCATTATGAGTCCAAAGCTCCAAACCCTCTGTTCCACCTCATGATGTCATGAAGTGGTAGTTTCCAAGTTCTCAACTCCTTTTCCCTTTAGTTGAGTCGAGATCAGTGACTCCAGGACTGAAATGATCCAGTTGATTCTAGAGACGGTGTGTGGAGTTTAAAAACTGTTTGTTCCTGTACCTACCACATGACATCACGAGGTGGAACAGAGCGTTTGGAGGTTTGCAGATGTAACAGACTCAGAATAAAGAAACAAACAAACACAAGTCCAGCTCTGAGTGTGACCAGGAACAACAGAACATTAGAACATCAGAACATTATTTTGACTTGTACATTTACATTTATATAATTATGTTTTATTTCACACGTGTCTCTTGCTTTTTTTTTTTTTTTTTGCTTCTTATTTAGAATTTATGATCACTAATTATACTTTTCTCCCCCCCAGAGACACTGAGAGACTCTCCGGGGTTAAACGGTCCTGTTACCCTCAGGTCATTCAGAGCCACTGGAGCTTTACGTTAAAAGACCTTAAAGAGTCGACGAGACGGATCAGGTACAATTATGTAACATTCCAGACGCAGCACGTCATCCGCACGATGCCACGGAAACAGAAAGAGAAAAAACACACTGTGGTACCACTGTGGAACATTCTCCATATAACCCATGGAAACAAGCAGGAGTCGGGTTTGTGGAGATGCAAGCTCACAGTAACAATGCAAGTTACACAAGTAAGAAGAGAAACAAAAAGAGCCACACTGGCGATAATCTTTACATGTTTACATTTTAAACCTTCCTTCATCTGCTCTGTCCCTTTACAAATAAATAAGAAAATAAGAAGTTTCACTCTTTTGTCTCAAAGCTCCTGAAGCTGCAGAGTCTGACAGCTCCAAACTGTCATGAGAGTTTATGAGAAAATACCAGGAGTTTATTACAGTAATTCAACCAAAAATTCAGCACAAACTCAACAGGATCATCACTTTCAGCCAAATGAGCCCAACCAGACCGAGACTTCAGCTGTTCCTGGAGCTGCCCAGACCCGAGCAGAGCCTCACATGTGCACAGTTCTGCTGCGATGGGAGGCTGCTGTCTGAGTCTGAGTAAGACGAGAACCTCCTCCAGACGTTTCCTCTCCTTTAAATGCTCCCTTTATTTACCCACAGACGCCGAGCTCCACCCAACGCTGGCACAAAAACAGACACTCCCTATGAACACAGGCCAGTGTGGAGCCAGCGCGGCGCTCTGCTCCTCCGAGAAAAACACACACTGATCCAAACGTGACACTCATCTGAGCAGGTATCAATACTGAAACTCCTGAGGCGTGGGTCAAATGCAGAGGACACAGAGACAATCAAACACTTTTACATTTAAAACAGAAACAAAACAGACAGAACTGTTCCTGAATGTGTTTAGAACAATCTGGAGCTGCAGCAGAACAAGTACAGACAAACACACTCGTTTTCACCATAAACCTGCACAGATCGATGGATTCTCGCGAGATTTGTGACTGTGAAGATAATCGGGCGACCAATCACGTCGCAGCACTGAGGTTTGGGCGGAGCCAAAGGTGAAGAGCTCGAACGAACCAAAACAAACATGGCGACAGCGAGAGACGACCTGCAGTCTAGTTTAGTGTCACTACAGAATATTTAGTTTGTGAAAATCGTGCAGAGGAAAGAGACGGAGACTCTGAGCTTTTCTCTTGATCTGATTTAACTCAAGTTTGAGTTTCGTCTTGTTTCGCTGTTGTGACGCTTCAGCCGATCAGAGTCAAACAGACGCTCTGTGTTTTGAGACGTTCAGGTGAAACAAAATGGAGTTTAAAGTTTGAGCTGTGACCGAACTTCAACAGACGACCTGACAGGAGCAGAGTCGCCCTGTGCCAAGGTCCTGCCGCCGACTGTGGGACACGACGACTGCTCCTGTCCCAGAGTGTCCGTGTCCCAGAGTCTGCAGCAGGACCTTGGTCTCTGTTATCAGTGCAGGTTTGAGGTTTGCACACGTCCACTGTTCGGTCACAGAACATTTACAGGCTCCTACAGACGAGATCTGAATCCACGGCTTCATTTCATATTTTGATTTGAAAATGAAGAACACAGAGACACAAATGGACGTGTGCAAAGTCCAATTTACCAATTTACCCTCATGAGCTCCATTTGAGGTTTTCACTGCAGTAAAAATAAAGATAAAAATGACATTTGTTGTTTTTAGTTGAAGGTTATTTGGCTTATTTCAATACATTTACGTGCCTGTGTGTCTCATTAGCTCTAATCTCTGAGTGTGGATCATTCTGAACATTTTAAATCACAATATTGATCTAAAACAAGTTCATAAAAGAAACAAGAGCTCTGACTTCAGTGTCCCAGTATTTCTCATAATCTTCAGATGAGCACGACAATAAAGCCAGAAAATCTTCTTTTTGTGTGTCATGTTTAGGCCTGTGCTGCTGACACCCACAGACAGGTGAGGACGAGCACACGCCGCACAAAAACACGACTCATTCTGACCCGTCTCGCTGTACAACTTTGTCACTAATTTAATCCAAAATCCGTTTAATCCGTGAGTCACATTTGAACAGTGAAACAGTGGGACGGTGTGGCGTGTGGTGTGGCATGTGCCAGTCGGGCGGGGAAATAAATCTGGACTCACCGTACAAGGCCTTGGCGCTGAGTTTGCTGTCCGAGCGCGACACCCCACTGCAACGACACACACGCCGACCCGGGTTACGCTTCATTCTGCCAGACCCAGAACCCCGACGTGCCCACAAAACCACACCAGTCACTCAAGTCCACACACCAGTCACTCAAGTCCACACACCAGTCACTCAAGTCCACACACGAGTCACTCAAGTCCACACACGAGTCCACACACGAGTCCACACTCAAGTCCACACACGAGTCCACACACACACACGAGTCACTCGAGTTTGGACTGAAACAGTGAGAAGTGACAGAGTGAGAAGCAGGTGAAGCAGAGAGGAGGAGGAAAGAGGGAGCGAGGGGGAAAGTAAACAGGACAGAACAGTGGCCCTGTGTGCTGCTGCGCTCCTGACCCGTCACCTCCGCCGGGCCAGAGTCTGTCTGCAGACCTGCACCCGGAGGACCCACCCCCACAGACCTGCACCCGGAGGACCCACCCCCACAGACCTGCACCCGGAGGACCCACCCCCACAGACCTGCACCCGGAGGACCCACCCCCACAGACCTGCACCCGGAGGACCCACCCCCACAGACCTGCACCGGAGGACCCCCCACAGACCCACCCCGGAGGACCCACCCACAGACCCACCGGAGACCCACCACAGACCTGCACCCGGAGACCCACCCCCCACCCACGAGGACCACCCCCACAGACCTGCACCCGGAGGACCCACCCCCACAGACCTGCACCCGGAGGACCCACCCCCACAGACCTGCACCCGGAGGACCCACCCCAGAACTTGTCAAGTAAATTGATTTTACTTTTTACTTTTAAGTCATGTTCTGATAGATTTAAGTGTTTATATCTTATATTTTGGCCAAGCTTTTTGCAGTGCACAGACCTGCAGCCACACGCCCCTCAACATTTTCCTTAGTTTACTCTTTACGAGGAAATGATCGTCTTTGCTTCATTATTCACTGTTATTAAAAGCTCATTTCATTCTTTTTAGCACTTCAAACATTGTACATTTGTTCCCCAGTGTCCCTGAGCTCCAGAACATTCTTCTTCAGTCTCCAGTCGTCTGTGAAGATGTGAGTCTGGTCATCAGATCTGTGATGTTTACAGTTTGGAAAAGGGTTTGAGTCTTTAGTGTAAAACTGTGTGAGGACACAGAGACTTTGTTGTGTTTTGGCTCCTGTGAGTTTCCTCTCTGTGGAGGTGGGTGACAGGAGGGTCCTTTGGGTGCAGGTCTGCAGGCAGGTCCCTCAGCAGAGTGACACAGATCGATATGAGCAGAGCAGCAGGAGTGAAAAAACAGGACAAAAACAGGACAAAAACAGGACAAAAACAGGACAAAAACAGGAGTGCACTCACTTGGACGGCTTCGACGGAGGTCCTCCGACATTCATGGCTCCAGGCATCCACCTACGACAGGAAGAACAGAAGTATGAACAAATATACAAGTTTTATTTATTTTATTTTGGTGAATGTTTTTTATGTTTCTCAAACTGTGAGCTCCTCCTGGTCCAGTATTTCTCTAAATGCCCCAAATGACGTCGTTTATTTTGGTTCTAATGTTTCCTCATCACAAACCAGAAGTGGGAACAAGTCGTTGTTTTGCAAGTCTCAAGTCTTTGACCTCAAGTCTGAGTCAAGTCCCAAGTCACTGACCTTCAAGTCCAAGTCTCAGTCCCAAGTCTCAGTCCATTCTGTCAAGTCAAGTCTCAAGTCTTAAAAATAGTGACTCAAGTCTGAGTCAAGTCCAAATCACGACTCACACGTCTCCACCTCGGTCACACTCAGACCTGCAGCTGTGTTTTTGTTTCATTCACACGTTTAACTCACAAACCTGCACATTTAACACGAGCTCTTCACTCACACATAAAAACAACCTGTTCCACCTTGTGATGTCATCATGTGGTGATACAGGAAGTGCTCCATTGTGTTTTTAAACTCCACACACCTTCACTAGAATCACCTGGATCATTTCAGTCCTGGAGTTTTGATCTCAACTGAACTAAAGAGAAAAAGGAGCTGTTCAAAAGACATGACATCACAAAGTGGAACAGAGCGTTTGGAGCTTTGCAGGTGTAACAGACTCAGAATAAAGATTTACTCAAACATGTGTGAATGAAACTAAACACAGCTCCAGCTCTGTGTGCGACGAGGGAACAGAGTTAGAACACGACTTAAACCTCACAGGAGTCAGTTTTGTTTCATATCAGACCTTTAAATCCTGCTGTAAATTTATCTGGACATGTTTTAGTTCAACAGAGAATCATTTTCAGAAAGTTTGACCAATCAGAGAAGCACATCGTCCGTCTGTATCGAAACAAACACGGCGCCTCGTGAGTGAAACAGAGAAAGAACTGGACTTGGCGACAGACGCTGAACTGAGGCGAGATTTTGTTGTAAATAAAATCTGGTTTGACGGGAGGATTTCAGAGGAGCTTTAGCAGATTATTGGTGTGAGTCCTGGACAATAAACTGCCCGTCAATCTCAAGTGTG